ATATATATATATATATATATTAAAATTACGTAAGAAATTCACTCGTCGTTGTATACTGTTCGTATTAACCAAAACAGAATTATTCACAACGGAACAATATTTTGTTACAGAGTTCGTCGGAGAGTCACATCGTGATCACATCGACCGAGTTCATATCTGGCACGACGAATGTGATAACCGCCAGCAAGGTGTCCGAAGGAACGATCACGACTTTGTACGAGAACATAAGCGTAAGATTAGAATCGATCTTGCCAGCAGCGAGCGAACCACCTGAGGTGAAGGATCCCGAACCGGCTAGTATGTTCATTGGAAGATGGCTGATAGAAAATTCGATGGAGGATCACTTGTCGTTGGAAGTCTAATCGAGTCACTCGAAAAAATTCAGATCGACGTCTCGTGGATGCGGTTCCACGACGATCAAATTCACGTATCACTATTGTTGTAAATAGTGCAATAACTGTGCGCTGATCATTTGATTCTGTAAATAATAAAGTAACGTTCCCTTTGTATACACGGATCTCAACTCATTCAACGTTTACCTCCGACGTCGCCAGTAATTTCTCTGGTGGAATTTTTCTAAATTTAATTTTTTAAAAACTAAAATTTTTCCAAATTTTCATTGCAATGCAAGTTTTCAATCTAATTCATTGCTCATCAAATAGATTAGATACACGTGATAATTCAAAGAAAGCGAATTTTTATTTCTTTCGAAGAAATTAAGGGACTCTAACTACGAAGGATAATCGATTAAACGAAGGTGTTCAAACATTGTCGCTTTAAGTGACGTGACAAATTAATGGAAAGATGCGTTCCACTTTAACGGCTTGAAACGATCGGATTCGATGGAAAGAAGCAAGGATCTTATTATCTGACGCATCTGCGTTCCATTACTAGAGATAAAATACATACTACAATGATACACGCATTGCTTTTAATCCGATTAGTACATGTATAATAGTGGCAAAGCTTTCCAAGCGTGGGAAACAAGTAAATCCATCCCTCGACACCCCCTGAAAGTAGCTTAAGCAAATCTCTGATGTGTTAATTATTTAATTAATTACGTACCATTTCCATTTTTCATCGTTTCTCGATATGTGTGTCAAGGATTTAGAACAAGAGTTTGGCTACAAGATATTAGTGTTTAATTAACAAATTTGTCGTGTAACAAATTCATCAGAATTTAACGAACGATGAATTATAGAGAGGGATGAAACAATTGAAATAAATGTTTGAATTTCGATCGAATAAATATTCTTATCGAAACTCAAAATTGACAATTTGAACTTTCGATTAAACTTTAAACGATCCTGATTCGTCCTGCGAACGATGGCCAGATAATTTTTATCGATTTCTAAAATAACCTGGATATCTTTCGAAGACTTGTCGTATCGGACCTTCTTGACGAACGACTTCGATGGAAATGGAAACAATTTTAAAACGATCTTCCAATTGATTTAATTCGATCTTCAAGGTTGGACAATCTTCAAGGTGTGCCTAACCGTTTTATTCAAATTTCTAAAAGTGCTGATACAAGCTAGTAATTTTCACTATAGAGAGCAATCAGCATCAATCTTCGAACGATCTTGATGTAACGTCAAATACTTTGAAACAATCTTCAGACGGCGTACTTTGATCTGATAGATCAATCGTCG